ATATTCATGATCTTGTATTTCACTTTCTAATCGTAGTTGATATTTTTGTATATGTGTTTTTATTTAATTATGCTGGACAAGAATTTATGGATCATAATGACCACATATTTTCCACTGCGTAAGAGACACTATGTATGCTTATAAATATATGTCAGTAATATTTTGACGAACTCTAGTATAATCGAAATTAGGAGATTAATTCATATAACTCCGTATGAAGATTATTATTGTATCTCCAATTATCAATTTGTTTTTCTGATCTTTATTTTGTAGATACAATGTTCGATGGTATGTAACACCATTACACGTACAGAAGCTAATATTATTCCTCTTGCAAAGGGGTAGCAAGACTGTCAGTCTTAATTTTGGCATAATGTTCGTGTTGTCCTTAGAATTATTTGCAGCGGTAAAAGATTATTATATGGCCTATGTTACGTGTATATAGCACGTTACGTATATTTGTTATGTTATTTGTTATGTATAAGTGTGTGTACATGCATGTGTAGGTACTATATATAATATGGTATGCAGTGTATATATGGTATTTATATATATGTACATGTATAAATATGATACACAGACACACGATGCAGATATATACATTTCATTCTAGTTAACGAAGGCATCGATATCTTATTTTACCGTTATGTGTTCGATGCAATAGCAAAAATTTTTGATCCAACAACTGCAGTTGTATAAACGTATTGCAATTTGCGGTGATATAGGTAAGTGTAAAATCAAATTTTTTCGTATCTGTTTGACTATTGGACAAGATTATCGAAAAAATAATATTTTTTGCTTTTTAATTTTAACGCGTACTGTCCATGACATAAGACGTAAGTAGAGAGAAGTATTAGTTCATTTTTATATTAAATCGATTATACCTACAAAACCTGGATTATATCTTTCACCTTTGAATACCTAATATTAATTTTAATGAGAAGATTTTTAACGTTTTTTTTTGTCTAAGCAAGTAAAATATCAGCCACATGAATATTGCATAGACAAAATAATACATACCATTAACAAAACATTGATGTCGTCATATTAGTTTGTTGTACTATTTTAATAGTCACAAATCCACGTGGTACGTTGCTTAAGTCTCGATAATCTCTATCTACTTCTTGCTTAAAAGGTTTCGTTATTATGCAATATAATAAGAGATGTAACAGGTGAACGTGTAATATTTATATACAATACATTTAGAAGAGAAGCTGAAATAAGAATAAACAGAATATGTTCTTTATGTTCGGACGAATAGATAATTTTTGAGTAATTTAGTACTAGAAGTATAAAGAACTCTTTATACTTCCGGTACCTATAAGAAGCTCGAAGAGCTACATTTCGTATATTTTTCTTGGTGATACTCATGTATGTACAGTTAACACGACACATACATAAGATGAATGAATCGACATGGTTCGTAAAGAAGAAACGTATCATACGAATGTATACTATAGAATAAAACGCATGAAATTGCCACGATGAGAAAAAATAACTGCGCTGAAATTCGATGAAGAAGTGTTGTGCAAATATTCTCTTTACGCGGCGGGAAGTATAAAGCATCAGTTGAATTTCCCTCGACGTTGTATCGATCGGTTGCTTAATCACCCGTTTTTTTTCCGTGCAAAAACATCAAACTGCGAGTGTTCCAACTTTACGGTAGCAATTTGTCTATTATCTTACATTATACTTATGCCGAATTCAGCAATTTAGAATTTATGTTAAATAAAAAAAAACATAATATTCTCGATATTCGAGAGAGTGGAATATGCGACGTTTCTTCGACGTTTTCGCGGTCAAACGCGTACTGTTTCTCGCAGAGTGATGATCTCCATCAAGACTCAGCATTTTAGATTCAATCGGATTCTTCTGCTCTCAATTGGCTTATGGCCTTATGAACGAACAAGACTCGTTCAATTTCAGATAACTTTGTTTTTTGGTGTCGTCATTAGCAGTGTTATATACCAGGTATATCCAATTATGTCTATGTTAACAGCTGATTAGCTTATATTTCTAATTAGTTAACTAATTAATTATATAGAAATTATGGTAATGTTAATTTTTAAATAAATATATTGATTTTAGTTCGCACCACTTGTGTTTATAAAGTGCACTCCAGGTCTTGTTATCGATGTTCTCTCTATCGCATTGTTTTCTGGTACGTTTGCGATTTCTTATCAAGTTTTTTGGATTAAGGTTCATGCTGTAAGTTGTGCTTCTACTGTGTTTAGATTCAATATTCTCGACAAATAAAGCTTTACACATAAGATATATATATCTTTTATAAATTTTATGCTATTAAACGATGTTAAAAGGAATTATTGTCATGATAGATGAAGTCGTTAATGGATGAACTTCAGCATATTTGTAACGATCTAAAGGATAAGAACGAGATTGCTATTATAACAAAATATGGAAACATTGCAAAACGTCTTACGGCTATAATTACGTGTAAGACAATATTTATTAACATTTAATCATCACTCGTAATTAAGCGAGGTAGTTTATAATCATTTTAAAAGTCGCGTCAATCACTTTATTATTTAATTTAATATATTGAGAGATGTCATGTCATATAATTAGAAATGTTAAAAGGAGAATAGAGAGAATAAAAGTGTAATATCACAATTCACGATAAGAATTTTTGTTTCTAATTATTATTTTAAAAGTAGAAAAATAAGTTTAAATGATAACTGGATACTTTGATTATTAGCTTGCATTAATTAGCAGTCTAAACTAGTTAATGCACGAAAAAGTTTGAAACGTGTAAAGATATTATTTAGAAGAATAAGAAGCAATATTAAAAAAATTTTTTTTTATATCTAGTGTTTCATGTGGGCAACATAAGTACTATTTCGTTACTAACGGTTTCACTGTATCTTCTTGATGCTGTATTGCTCGTAGAGAAGTCTGAATTACGTCGCATTTTCCAAAGAGCTATACCTAAATTCTTCATTGGCCGAGAAAAATATACGTATTCGGTATTTCTGTATTATTTGGGAACTGCTTGTATAGGAGGTACTGTATTGCTAGGAACGGGAATGATGATTGTAACATACTCCAAACATGCCTGTGGAATATTTAGAATCGCCAGGTGAAGAAATAAATATAAAAATTTTTTGATTGCAAATATAATCTTATTTGGGCGCTATTTAAACAATCTCTATGCGGAAAGAAATGATCCTGTTGCAGGGTAATCTATTTTGGTATACAATAAGTATCATTGTGCTGTTCGGTTTGTTAGCGATATAATTTACAGAAAAATTATTCTGAGCGAATTAGATTTTTTAACTTACCTTTTCCGCTTTCCACATGATTGAAGAAATTTATCACGCGACATTATAAAATATCTTACAACAACGAATCCTTTCTGTGTGTCTGTGTAATTACAATAAAAAGTTTTTTACAGTTACCGTATCGAGAAAGCAATGATGGTAAATATGGAAAATATTAGCCTGGAAAATGAGATTATAATTCGTAAGGAAATAATTCTTGCCGTAGATATTCATCGCAAAGCTGTCCAGTTAGTATTTCTCTAACAACAATTATAAATACCTGTAATAATAATTTTTTTTGTTAAAGGTTCACTACGCTTTTGTTTTCCACCTTTAATGGATTAATATTTTTTTTGATAATAATTAATGTGATTTGTTTGAGCTTCAATCTTTATAGAGTGAGTTTTTATGTTATTAATAGATATATTTTTAGATGATCGTTTTGATTTTGATTTTGTAATGTCAAAATTGAAAGATTACAATATAATATTTAAATTGAAAGGATTTTGTTGTAATAATGAAATGATCTCTTGTGAAATATTTATACATAAAACACAAATTGCTATTTATGTGTTTTAGATATCTGAAACCATGTCACGAGAGGGCGATATCGGACAATGTTGTATTCATTTTATAATTACGGTTGCAATTTTTGTATATTTGTTTCTAGCCAATTATGTTGGACAAGAACTTACCGATTACAATAATCACGTATTTTTTACCGCGTAAGAATTACTGTGCTCATAAATGTATATGAGTAAATTTTTTGTTATCGAAAGAGAACTTAGAGTTTGTTCTATAGAATCCGTGTACTCATAGCGATGATTGATATACCTAATCTTTTCAAATTTTCGATTGGTTGCCTAGCTCTTACTTTATAGATACAATGTTCGGTGGTACGTAACACCTTTGCACGTACAAAGGTTGATACTATTTCTTTTGCAAAATGGCAGCAAAACTTTTCGCGTGTCTCTTGGTGGACTGTTGTCACTTTCCATCGAACTTTTTGCCACGGTAAAAGAAATCACTCTATATCATTGCGTTTAATATATTGTGTATATTTGATATTCCGCATAGATAATACAAGACTCATTGCATTATTTTAGTTAACAAAGACATCGTTATCCTACTTCACCGTTGTATATTCTATGCAACAGTGACGTGAAAATATATCATTTTACAGCGTATTACAATTTGTAGTAGAATAGGTAAGGTTAAAAATAAGTAAACATGTGGTAATATAAAATGTCAGTTGTATATGTACAATAAATCAAGGAAACTTATTAAAACTTTTCTACATGATCTGGAGAATGTTTACATCTCTTAAGATATCACTAGTATGGACATTTTATTAGTATAACTTGCAATTTGTAATATTTTGTATTTCATTAACAATAGTTTCATTATACCTAGCATGTTTGTTCGCAATGCCAGTGATATTCCTTTTAGCCAACAAGCGTGCCATATATGCAATGAAGTGAAGCACGTGAAGAAGCGGTTGTCGTGAGAAAAGACAACTGCGTTTACGCACAGTCAAGTAATATCGCAGTATAGAATATTTTTTTAATGGGAAGTAATCATTGGTTGAATTTCCCTCGGCGTCAAATCGATCGATCGTTTAATCGCCCGTTCTTTTTCCCGTGCAAAGCATAATGCCCGTTCTAGACTGGAGGATGAGCCGACTCTCGGCTCATCCGAGTGAGTGGTGTAGACGGGTGAAAATCTATAGGTTATGTATAGTTTATGTCACGTACACTATAGAAGGCGGATGAGCCGACTCTCGGCTCATCCTCCAGTCTAGAACGGGCATAAAACTGCAAATGTTCCAGTCTCACGATATCAAATTTGTCTATTACCTGGTAGTACATTTATGCTGAATTGAGCAATTTATAATTTATATTGAAAAAGAAAAAATATATAATATTCTCGATATTTGAGACAGTGCGGCATACGCAAACCTTCTTTGACGTTTTCTCGGTCAGACGTGTACTGTTTCTCGCATAGTGATGATCTGCATCAAAACCCAGCATTTTAGGTTCAATCAGATTCTTCTGCTCTCAATTGGCTTATGGCCTTATAACGAATGAACAAGACTCGTTCAACTTCAGATAACTTTGGTTTTTGGTATCCTGATTAGCAGTGTTGCATATCAGGTGCATCCAGCTGTATCTATGTTAAACAGTTGATTGTTTTATGTTTCTAATTAGTTAACTAAAGACAGAAATTTTTGTAATTTTAATTTTTAAATAAATTTATTGTTTTTAGCTCGCAGCACTTGTGTTTACAAAATGCACTCCAGCTTTTATTATTATTAATGTTTTCTCTGTCGCATTGCATTTTATTACGTATGCGATTTCATACCATTCTTTTTGGATTAACACTCATGCTGTAAGTTATGTTAAATTCTTTATTGTATTTATATTCAATATTCTTGAAAAATTAAGCTTTACACAAAAGATACATTTTATAAATTTTACGATACCGTCAAACGATGTTAAAAAGAATTTTTATTGCTATAATAGATGAAGTATACTTATTAGATGAACTTCAACATATTTGTAATGATCTAAAAAATGGGAACGAGATCGCTATTATAACAAAATATGGGAATATCGCGAAACGTCTCACGGCTATAATTATGCGTAAGACAACGTTTATTAACATTTAATAATTTACTCGCAATAACTCGAAGTACATAGTTTATAATTGTTATATAAAAGTCGCGTTAATCACTTTATTACTTAAGTTAATATATTGAGAGATGTCATGTAATTAGAAATGTTAAAAGGAGAATAGAATAAAAGTGTAATTGTCACAATACATAAGAATTTTTGTTTCTAATTATATTATATTAAGAGTACAAAAATAAATTTAATTGGTAACTGGATTAGTAACAGTACGATCATTAGCTCGCATTAATTAACAGTATGAATTGGTTAATGCACGAAAAAGAAATGTATAACAATATTACCTACAATTAGAAGAAGAAGAAGAAGAAGCCAAAAAATTTCTTTTTTTATGTCTATAGTATTTCATGTGTGCAACATAAGTAGTACTTTCTTACTGACGATTTCACTGTATTTTCTTGATGCTGTCTTACTCGCAAACGAGTCTGAATTACATCGCGTAATGCAAAAAATTTTACCCAAGTTCTTTATCGGTCGAGAGAGCTATATGTATTTAATATTATTGCATTTTTTCGGAGCTGCCTGTACAGGAGGTACTGTATTGGTAGGAACAGGCATGATGCTTGTAACATACTCCAAATATGCCTGTGGAATGTTTAGAATTGCCAGGTGAGAAAATACAAATGTACCAATAAGTATAAAAATATTTTGATTGTAAGCATAATCTTATTTGGTGCGGTATTTGAACTATTTTGTACATGGAAAGAAATGATTATATGTTGAAGGATAATCTAATTTCGGTAGAATAAGTATTATTGTGTTGTTTGTTTTGTTAACAATATAATTTACAGAAAAAATTATTCTGAGCGAATTAAGTTTTTTAATTAGCCTTTTCTGCTTTCACATGACGATTGAAGAAATTTATTACGACAGCAAAGTGTAATAACGAATCGTTTTCCTTTCTGTGTCTGTGTAATTACAAAAAAAAAAGTTTTTTTACCGCAGTTACCGCATCGAAAAGGCAATGATGGTAAACGTGGAAAGTATTAGCTTGAAAAATGAGATTATAATTCGTAAGGAAATAATTAATGCCGTAGATATTCATCGCAAAGCTGTCAAGTTAGTATTTATCTAACAATATTTATAAATACATGTATTAATATTTTCTTTTTATTAAAGGTTCTCTACGCATTTGTTCTCCACCTTTCAGGGATTACTATTCTCTTTGATAGTAATTAATGTGATTTGTTTGAGCCTCAATCTTTATAGAGTGAGTTCTTACATTATTAGATATACCTATTATGTATTTTTAGATGACCGTTTTGACTTTGATTTTATAATGTCATGATTATGGAAGAACCGTTTGCAATATAATATCTAAATTGAAAGGATTTTTCGTTGTAATAATGTCTGAAATAATCTATTGTGAAATATACATAAAACAAATTGCTATATATGTGTTTTAGATATCTGAAACCATGTCGAGAGGACGATATCGAACAATGTTGTATTCATTTTGTAATTACGTTTGCAATTTTTGCATTTTTGTTTATAGCTAATTATACCGGACAAGAAATTACCGATTACAATAATCACGTATTTTTTACCGCGTAAGATTTACTGTACTCACAAATGTATATGAATATAAAATTAATTGGTTACGGAAAGATAAGATTACAATTAGTTTTAGAATTAGCTTATGAATCCGATAACTCATAGCGATGATTGATAAGTTACTTGATCTTTCCAAATTTTTGATTGGTTGCCTATCTATTACTTTGTAGATACAATGGTCGGTGGTACGCAACACCTGTGCACGTATAAAGGTTGATACTATTTTTTTTGCAAAATGGCAGCAAAATTTTTCGCGTGTCTTTTGGTGGTGTTGTCACTTTCCATCGAACTTTTCGCCACGGTATAAAAGAAATCACTCTATATCGTTGCGTTTAATATATTGTGTATATTTGATATTCGGCACAGATAGTATAATATGACATATTGCATTCTAGTTAACAAAGGCATCGTTATCCTACTTCACCGTTGTATATTCTATCTATGCAACAGTGACGTAAAACATATCATCTGGCAGCGTATTACAATTTGCAGTAGAGTAGGTAATATTTAAAATAAGTAAACATGTGGTGCCTATAAAATGTCAGTTGTGTATGTTATGTACAATATATGAAAAAAACTTATTAACACTTCTTTACATGATTTGCGAGAATGTTTAAATTTCTTACATACCACTAATATGGGCATTTCGATGACTTGCAGTTTGCAATATTTCGTCTTTTATTAACAATAATTAGATACTTAACATGTTAGTGCGCAACGCCAGTAGTGGTGTTCCTCTTGCCCAACAAGTGTGTCATTCGAAAGTCGACAATGAAGTGTGGAGCCCGCGCGTGAAACGGAGGAGTCATCGCGTGAGAAAGGACAACTGTCATGCGTTCGTGCGGACTTCGATTAAAATATTATCAGAATTTTATGTGGAAAACAAACGTTCGTTGAATGTCTGTCTGTTGGCGTCAAGTCAATCGATCGCCCGTTCTTTTCAGGCAGAAACATTAATTCGCGAGTGTTTCGATCTCACGGTAGTATTTTTTCTACCACCTCATATTATACGTTTTTGCTGAATTAGACAATTTGAAAATTTAAAAATTGGTTCTAGGAAAATTTAAAAATTAAATATTTATATCTTATGAAAGAAAAGAAATACTCGTCGATTTCTTCTTGTGTTAGACGTGTGTCGTTTCTCGCAATGATCAGTGTCGCGCGGCATTTTAGATATCAGCAGATTTTTCTTCTTGCAGTTGGCTTATGGCCTTATCAGCAATCCAAACTCGTACAGTTTCAGCTGATGTTATTTTTCGGTATTTTGCTCAGCTTTATTATGTCCCAGGTACATTTAAATTCGTAAACATATTTGTAATTATATTATAATTTTTTTACTTTGGTTTTTGCGATTAAAAATGTTCTTTTGAATACAATTTCACGATCGTCTGTTTATCTGATGTATTTGTGTTTGTTAGTTTCATAATCTATTTGATATAGTTTATTAATTTTGCGGAAGAGTATATTATTATACAATTGCTATGATAAATGATAAGAATTACACGGAAAGAACGGTTTTGCTGAAGTATCTAAAAATTTAGCAAGATACAGATTTGAAAATAATTTTGTTGCCATCAAAATAATTATATTAGGTCGCTGAAGTATGATGATGCTGAAAAAAATTTTGACATTTTAGCAATCATGTTTGATCTACATAATTATTTTGATAGTGCAATAAAATTATTTTGTCAGATCTGTATCTAGCTAAATTTGTAGATACTTCAGCAAAATCGTTCTTTCCGTGATATGAATTGCTCGATCATTACATTATAGTATATGGAAAAACAATCGGCTATTTTATATCTGCAGTTAAGTTAATCGCGTAAAAAAGGCTTTTTTAAATTAAAAAATTATTTTTTTAAAATAAATCTATAAGTATTGATTGTAGCTTGCAGTGTTTGTGTCTGCCAAATGCACTATCGATATTGCTATCAAGGTTCTCTCAGTCGCATCCCTTTTTATTATGTATACAATTAAATACAACTCGTTTCGAATTAACAATCAAATTGTAAGTTAGTGTTTTGCTGTA